ATATATATATATATATATATATATATATATATATATATATATATATATATATATATATATATATATATATATATATATATATATATATATATATATATATATATATATATATATATATATATATATATATATATATATATATATATATATATATATATATATATATATATATATATATATATATATATATATATATATATATATATATATATATATATATATATATATATATATATATATATATATATATATATATATATATATATATATATATATATATATATATATATATATATATATATATATATATATATATATATATATATATATATATATATATATATATATATATATATATATATATATATATATATATATATATATATATATATATATATATATATATATATATATATATATATATATATATATATATATATATATATATATATATATATATATATATATATATATATATATATATATATATATATATATATATATATATATATATATATATATATATATATATATATATATATATATATATATATATATATATATATATATATATATATATATATATATATATATATATATATATATATATATATATATATATATATATATATATATATATATATATATATATATATATATATATATATATATATATATATATATATATATATATATATATATATATATATATATATATATATATATATATATATATATATATATATATATATATATATATATATATATATATATATATATATATATATATATATATATATATATATATATATATATATATATATATATATATATATATATATATATATATATATATATATATATATATATATATATATATATATATATATATATATATATATATATATATATATATATATATATATATATATATATATATATATATATATATATATATATATATATATATATATATATATATATATATATATATATATATATATATATATATATATATATATATATATATATGTAAATATATATATATATATATACCAAACCTCATGCTTGTATCACATTCTTGCTCTATTTGCAATACTTTGAAGAACAGTATTCAAGGATCCAATTAAATGCACTATATTACTTATTCCAGAAGGGTTGCTTGTATATTTTTGGATTGACGTTAGTTATTTATTTTTCAACTTGAAACAATAATAACTATAATAAATGAATATTAGATTTGGTTACATCCTGCTAACGAAATAAATAAAATAAATATATCGTTACTTGTACAAATTTCTCTTCAACCTGATCAATTTTTTTCATCAAGTTTATCCATGACTATCTATTAACAATCAATTCCAATATTCCAGGTCTCCTTCTGGTTAGCATTTACTTTGTCAAAGAATCGCCAATATTTCTGCTCGCTAAAGGGAGAGATGAGGAGGCAGAGAAATCACTCCAGTTTTTCAGAGGTTAGATTAGATTTTTACGTTTTTTATGCATTGTTTTCTTGTCTTTGTCCACCACGTGTGTGTGTGTGTGCGTGTGCGCGCGCTTGTGTGTGTGTGAGAGAGAGAGAGAGAGAGAGAGAGAGATACATGTATAGATATATTTATATATAGAGAGAGAGTTATACATATATAGAGAAATATATATAGAGAAATTATTTATTTCTCAGGAAAGAACTACAACATTCAGGATGAGATGAAAGTCCTGAAGAATTCCCTCGAAGACGCCCAGAAAAATAGTTTCTCCCTGAAGGACCTGAAGCAGTCTTACGTCCTGAAACCTCTCTTCATATCTTTGCTCCTCATGTTCTTTCAGCAGACTACAGGCGTTCCGGCCGTGATGTTTAACCTCACTACAGTGTTCAGGGTCGGTGCCTCTTCTGAAGGAGAGAATGGGATTTATATACTGCACGCACGCATTTATTAATTCATGCATTTACTTACTCGTACACCCACTCACACACACACACACACACATGCAGAGAAACAAACAAACACAAACAGAATTGCACTCCTCATATAGACTGCTATATCTTGATCATCCTCTTACATATTAATATTTTCTAACCCCCTCCCCCTTTTTTTCCCCCCAGGCATCCGGTAGTGCTTTGTCAGATGACATGAGTGTTATTATCATTGGCATAGTTCAGGTTCTGGCCACGTGTGGCGGTAGTGTGCTGGCGGACAGAGCTGGGAGGAAAAAATTACTCATTATGTCGGCCGCTGTCATGGCTCTGTCCATTGGTAATGTCATTTTTATGTTGTGTTTTCTTGTAATATAGCTTGTATATTTTTTGTATTTTTTATTGTTTGGTCTCTCGATTTTCTATAGTTTGAGACACACACAGAGACAAACAAACAAACGCACATTCACAAAAAAACACATACACACACAAACAAACGCACATTCACAAAAAAAATACACACACAAACAAACGCACATTCACCAAAAAGCTCTCTCACACACACACACAACCTCCTTTCCCCTCCCCCCTAACCTCACTCCTCCATCCTACAGTCGGAATGGGAGGATTTTCCTACGCCAACAGTATATCCTCGCCTCGGCCTAATCTTTCGTCAGTGTCAGCCTTTGGAGTTATTCCCTTGGTCCTTCTGATAGTATTTATCAGCGCCTTCTCCTTGGGCTTGGGTCCCGTGCCGTGGCTTATGATGGGTGAGGTCGTGCACGTGAGACGTTTTCTCTCGTTTTTATGCTATTTTTTGGGTTTGTTCATTTTGTTTTTTGGTTATTTGGGTTTGTTTAGCGTGTTTATTTATTTATTTGTTATTATCCATCAAGAAACCTCTTAAATGTATCTTCAACTTATTTAAAAAAATAAAGAAGTTAATGATAATAATAATAATAATGATAATAATAATAACAATAATAATCATAATTATCATCATCATCATCATCATCATAATAATAATAATGATAATAAATTAATACATTAATGAAAATGAAATCAAGTAGGCCTATAGCATGTAATAAGTTTCTCTGTTTTGTTTTATTTAAACTTTTGTGTGTGCCTTAGTGAAAAAAAGAATTTTAACTTAATTTTAACTTTTTTTTTTTTTTTCTTCTTTTTTTTTCTTTTTTTTTTTTTTTTTTTGCAGGTGAGCTTTTCCCCTCGAACGTGAGAGAAACGGCAGCTAGTTTATCCATCGTCTGTAACTGTCTCTCAGCCTTCCTGATTACACTGATTTTTTATCCGATGACTGTAAGATTTATTTTATTCTTTTCTTAATTAACAGTTT